CTTAGCAAATTGTGCTGTGATGAAAGTCTTACATTGCCTCCTACAGGGTCTCCACAGTCCGTATCGGGAGTAATGAAGATGTCTGGAGCAAGTTGTGGTCCGCCGATTGTCGATGACGGCCTGGCGGCGTCCAATGCATCGAGACATGAGTCTCGCCGAGATTGCTGCAATTAAAGAACTTCACGCTATGACCGCATTCATAATGAGGCTGGCGTCAGAGGCAGCCATAGAAAAAGTAAAAAAGAGGCAACTGCAAATATTTGCGACAATACCCGTCTGTCTGTTAGGTTCAGCACATTTGAAGTGGATGGAGACAATGGGAATCGCGCTCGGTCTCCTTTGACGCGACCCATTGCAATTGTTTGGAATCTTTGATGCACATCGCTTGTGGTAATTTAGACCGCAACCTGAAATCAAATGCTGAATTCTAAACACATTTCTAAATGAACACCTAGCCTTGGCTCATTTTTGTATCAAATATGCAAAACTAAGGTAAGCCGACTTGACGACTTGATTATTGTGCTTTTGATTCTTCAAAGTACCGCAGTCACAAGCGTTCGTAACATTTTTTGTTTTTCTTTTCGCAATCACTTCCGCATAGCGCTGCGTTCATACTTTGCGGCAGCGTCTACTAGCTACCATCAGCGTTTCACGCGCCCATCAGCGAATAGGAAAATATATACAGGGGGCACAAAAAAAAGACACTTCGACCGAGTCACATATCAGCAAAGTTTTCGCAGCCCAGACAGAGGACGTGGATACGAGTACCAGGGCGGAAGATACCCAAGATGTTCCTCTATAAGCAGGAGCTGGCTCTCGCCCATCACCTTCATGTACACCAAAATATGAAGTCATCTCCAGTCGCAGCCTGACTGGAGAAGACCTTTGGAATTCATGTCACCTCCAAACAGCTGCGAAACTTCTAGTGTGGAGCCACCCATGGATAGCTACCTGGAGACCAGTGCTCTTGATCTGAAAGACCCCCAACATCGAGCAGCTCCGCAACGTCGCTACGGTCTAGGACATCATCTCCACCACAGTCGCCAAGGCGCGGGTTGATGGTATGGACCGGACGTACCTGGAATGGAAAGACCGATATTTTCTTCGTGGACCCCGGACTGAAGGTGAGCGCTGGCGGTTACATCGAGCAACTCGAGAAGAATATCCTCCCCACATGTCGTCGCCCGTACCTTCTTGGAAACTTTGTACTGCTACAGGATTGGGTGACACCACATGAAATTGAAGGGCGTTGGAAAACTCTCGCCTACTTGGAATGGAAGGGCGTTGAGTTCCTGAAGAAGATGGAATATCAAAGCGGGTCACCTGACCTAAACCCCATCAATTACCTGGTTCGGGCGGAGTTCAATAGGGTGGTCTACAGTGGCGGAGAA